GTAATTAATCATTTATATATAATAAAATATGTAAATATCATTATTAAATCGATAAAACTAATCAGTTTTAGCCCTCTAACTAGTTTTGTTTGGCTTATGAATCTTCATTCATTTCTTTCAAGTGTCACATGATATATTAGTTCTTATATAAAAATCCTTTTACATATTTGTAGCCATTTTACATTTTTGTACCGCTTTATCTTCTTCTTTTTGGGATATTTATATGCATACCACTCAATTCTCATGTATTCACATATCTAACACCTAGACTTTACTTTTTACATATACCAAATCTTTCATAGTACATAAAAAATACCACTATTTTAACTTTTAAAAAGAGAAATACACCTTTTCATGCATAATATGGCGGCATATATTTAAAAATTGAAGTTTAGGTGCTAGATATGTAAATACATAAGAATTTGGCGGTATGTATTTAAATCTTCCCTTCGTTTTATAATAGAGTCATTTGTAAGGGTATTGAAAAATATTTTTCATTTGATTGACAAAATGATTGTTTAATTTTTATATATGTAATATATCTTTAGTTACGTTATTGTTTTTAAATATTACTATTTATTATCTTATGCTGGGTATTTTTGCACTTATTATTTGTGCTCATCACTTATGTTATTTGTGCACATGTGTGTGTGTGTGTGTGTTCCTCAATTTCATAATCACTATCTCCCTTAGTAATTTGAGTTAGTTTTATGAATCTTCATTCATTCTCTTTTTACTTTTATTTTGAAGCATTTGCATAATTTCTATCCTTGTTATTACTTTCTTTTTGTTTTGTAGATGTTCACAGCCATTTCTATTTTTCATCATCTTATCTTCAATGGGTGTGAGTTCTACCATGTATTAGATATATTATGATGTCTTGTTAACTTTTTTATTTTAATCACCTTCTTGGCATTCTCATTTTTGTTGCACTCGAATTGAAACTTCTTCGTTACCAATACTCCGGCTATAAATAAAACATGGCCAGTATGATTGTAGTTTTTAAAATTTTATCTTTTATATTTTGCTATTGTATTTTGGAGTTGGTTCTCATATCATTTATCATTCTGATATATTCGTGCTGCATTATATTTTGCATTAATATTTATGAGAAGAATAAGGAATATAGTATTTACTAATAATTTTAGGTACTTAATCTATTTCAAACCATTATACAATTTAGTACAAAGATATTATTTTGTGAGCAAACATGAAGGCATTGCTTAGGTTTGTTGATCTTTTATAAGCCTATTTTTGGAAAACAAAAAACAAGTGAAAAAAGTTCAAAATAAAATGAGAAATTTTCGATTTTCTTCTTATATTTATTTATTTTTCAGAAATTGGTAAATTGGTCTTCTAATTGATGCAAATAGAGATGTATGATGTGCTATGTAATAAATTTACACTACTTTATCATTGGACCTAACCACTACTAGCATTGAAATTTAGTAGAATTGGCCATTTTATCATTTAAGAAAATGAGGGGGAAGGGTGAAAAGTTCTCATCTATGGAATGAATGGGCAATATCTAAGATTGGAATTTCCATAGAATTATTCATGCAAACTTGAAAAGAGAGATCTAGGCTGCCTTCTATTCTAAAAATAGAACAATGAACAGGAAATGTTGGCATTTGTTACATAAATAATTGAGTCGAGGAAAAGGGATAGAAGATTTGGTCTATTTTGGGATTATAGTACAAGAATCCATATGTGGCATCAAGCATTGCTTGGCGTTTTGAAAGACGACGACGACGACGACAACAACAACAACAAAAAAACCTTAATCCTACTACATGGGGTCAGGCAAAAAATTGGAAGAATTGGAAATTATTTTTCAATGGTTTTATAAACTTAGGCTCTGTTTTCTCGATGTTATAGTCATCTTTATATGGTGAAGGTATGAGTTGGGCGACCGCTTTTGACATAAGAAGGATAAAATCCCTCCTAAGGAATGACTGCAACAAAGCATGTCCAACTTTAACTTATGGTCAGTCCAAGTTGCATTTAACTTATTATCAACAATTATAATGCCATATAAAGCAATCAATGATACATTTATGATTAGCATTGGTTGTCTTGTGTGTTTGCTCATCACTTGGATTAAATTATACCTAAAATGTGTAATGATGGGCACAAGCTCGTGCAATATCGACTTATTGACCTAAATCATTCAAGTAGATTCTAATCTTGTTTAAATAGTTTAAATCAGTGACATTAGCATTTTCATCATAAGATCGTCTAGCTTAAAGAAGTTGATTTAGAAAGAAAAAGTTGTTGGCTCATTAATATAACCATTTTTTTTGGCTTTATCACGGACACATTTTATACCCTCACTTAATTCCTGCTATTGAATTTTCTCTCAATTATCACAAAGGGCGCATTTTTTTTTTATATGTTATATTTGATATTTCTAAATTGTACATGAGAGTGTTCTCCACATGAAATACTTTACCTAAATAAGGCATTTTATTTATTTTTCAAGAAAGCATTTGATTTTACCATTGGCATAAATAATGATCATGGTAATCAATGAATATAGATTTTTTTTCATGTATATGAGTGAAATTGAATTCTGTAAATTTGCTGGTGTTTATTATAAAGAAACGTACTAGTATTATTTTCAAATATGATCTAAATCCATCAAGTGGCTAGCATCTAACACACTTATTGAATGAGACCGGGGGTTGGTTCTTGTTTTCCAGTTGTTATGTGTAGTTAATGGAAAGCATAACATGATGTTGAAGGATGAAGTGATCTTAAACACAAATAAATCAAGACAATTGAATTTCTACTTTAGGTTAGGAATAATGCAATTTCCTTGAAGGATCTTTAGCTAAGTAGTGGATTAGATATTGATATTTTCAATCACGATGGATTTAATCCTTGTAGGAATTGGCATGGAATCATCCAAGTGTAGATCTTTTCTGATTGATCATATTTTACTTCTCTTAAACGCTTCCTCTTTTTGCTGTTGTGGTTTCCTTGTTCTTGTATTGACGGACTGCTTGTTGAAGCCTCCTTGATGCAGCCTCCTGATCTTCTTCTCTTTTAGTTCTTTGGTAGGAGAGATAGAATGAGAAGTAGAATGAGGAGAGAAAGGGAGACGACTAGAGAGCAGAGGAATGGCCAGCTAGGGTTTGTGCAGAATGAGAATTTCACATAATTTAATGATGATGAGTGCTTATAATCATTGTATTATTTATATGAAACGGAAAATGCTACATAATTGATAAATCCCAAAATCTTATCTCATATTTAACCGCTATCATGAATCAAGTTATCATATAGTTGGCCCTCCTTATTTGATCACTTGTCCTACATTTTTTTTTTTTTGGATAATTTAGGCCTAAATCCTCTCCCCTTTTAACCTTGGTCAGTCTCTTGGTTTTAGGGAATTGGTTTTGCATTTTAATATCATTCATTAATCTTCTTTCTCCTGCTTTTGTAGCCAATTATGCTGCTCTCATATAATATGTCTTTGCTCCATACACCAATTGCCATCTAAACTTGACCATGGCTCACATGTTTGGTTTGACTTGTGGCTTGAGTCGTAGCTTGATTTGGGTTTATGTTTAGGTTTGTTTGGGTATGATTAGTTGTTTTTGGCCCTAGTAAAATATTCCATTTCTAAATCACATTCAAATCTTATATTGCATCTATGACCTGCAGGTAGCTCTTATGTGGTAATCGCTTTGGTTGTAATGCTGGTCACTAATCCACTTCAAACTCTATCTTTGATTGTTGCTTCATTCATGAAATTCATATTCATGTAAAAAGTGATTTCCCCAAATGTGTGATTCTTTTAACCTGGATTCGTACATCAGTACTAAAGGGTAGTAGTGCGTTCAATTCTTTATACACATGTTTGAAGTGCATGTGATATACTGTTAAGTGGTCCAGTTGTTCAACATGATAAAATTTCTTACATACATCAAACATTCGAGAATTATTCTCTCCCAGATAACACAAACGACAATTCCTCCATCGCAGCTTTAATACATTTACAATGAGTAATATGATTGGATTGATCAAGTTTGATAGAATTTTATATTTGTATCAAAAGCTGAGTATCCACCCTTATCTACTCAAAATAATTTGGCTCAGTCTCAGCTCGAGTACTATCAGTAAGGTGACTTTCTTGAGAAGTATTTCTTAAATAGTCTCATAGTTTTATTCTAGTAATAATAATTAATTTCAGCTAACTTTTCATTATGTGATGGAAAGAATACTTTCTTATTTCTCGTTGAAATCATATTTTACAATTTTATATAGACTCTCTCTGGATTAGGAATACATCTAATATAAAAACTATCTGAAATTAAGTCTCTTCTAATTTGATTACCTAATATACGAGCTTTATATTTAGTATTTTTCATAACAGCAACGAAAGCTCTAAAAGAACCCTTTCTGTATGCTTTCATGGGTGTGGTTATGAAGAAAAGTTAAGAATTAAAATCTATCTGAACTAGGAATATGCTATTTTTTTTTTATCAATTTTAGAGAACTCGAGAAATTGGACGACAACAATTAGATCTAAAAAATTCTTCATTCTGCTTAGTGTTTATAACGGTTTTAAAAGTATATGAATCTGTAATTTACAACTGTCATGGAGCATTTCATCCGTCATGGAGCATTTCAACCGACGCTAAAGCAAGTGAATCTGTGATTTTATAAAAACCTTGGAGTACCCTAAACCAGTGATTCAACTAGAGGCATTGTTTTTCTGAATGTTCCTATACAAGTTGGATTTTGCAAGTAGCTGCCCTTCTTTTGAAAGTATTCCATCATGTGTGATTGTGTCTTGGCTGGTTTGGCAAGTTTGTTGAAAAATTTCTCGTGCTGCTAGTTCTCTTTTCTAGTCTGTCTAAGTATGACTTTTGCTAGGATTGATTTCAAATTATTCATTTTGTTATTAATAAATTTATATTTTTCTTTTTTATTGTCAACTATTCATCTGATCTTAATTTTTTTTTTTTGCATTTTTGTACTTTATCTTACAGGATAAGGCTGCTTTTGCTGATATTCTCAAGAGAATATCCAAAATACAGAAAACTAATGGTCAAAATTATGTCGTGCTGAGATGAGGTAAATTTTGTGCTAAAGAGGCTTCACTGCCTTCATTTTCTTGAACTTTATATATAATGTAAAAGCAACCACGTTGTGTTGAATGAGGCTAATGATGATAATTATGAGGTTCTGTTAGTGATGAATTGTATATGAAAATATTTAATGTGAAGAAGGATTGTAAACAAATTTTAGTGCTTACCAATGGTTGATTTTGGATTTGATGTTGGCATGAATTCATTGGTCAACTAGTATTACTTTGGATTCAGCTTCTAAATAGTGGATAATCTTAGTGGATGTTAAAACCAGTGAAAGACTTTTAGGGTTTGCTTGTGATATTTTTCTCACTACTTTGCTTTCCAAACCATTACCACCAATTTGTTTGATTAGTACTTGTTTGCTACTTTATATATATATATATATACTCTATATATATATATATATATATATATATATATTGGTTAGAAATTGTGGAATTCTGTTTCAGTTAGGTGAACTAGACTATCGGCTATATGGACCTTTAATGATCAATTTGTGGAAGCCATTAGAGGAAGTTTTCTATTTCATTTTTATTTCTTTTTATCATGTTTTATGTCTTTCATTTATTGTTTGTCTTGTATTTGGGAAGTTGTTATAGCCTTATTTATATTTGTCGTAGATATTCCCTATAAATTATGGGGAAATATTGTAATTTGAAGATGAGAAATAAGATAATATAGTTTCTTCACCTTTCTACATACTATGAAAGCCTCGTCAAATTGTTCCCGTTGGTGTCGTTTGTCTTCGACGTTAGCCTTGTTCGTCTTCAATTTTGTTTGGGTCTGTCTCCTTCATGTGCGTGTGTGATCTAGGAGTTGAAGCCCTTGCTTCCCCCTCTGATTGACCGGTTTGCGAAAGATAAATTGCAGGATCGCATCGCACAAAGACCCGTCTGCTTTGCTCGTCTCACTCATACGCATGTTTCACAGGCTTTTTTCGAACTAAATCCTCCTTGTTGTCATCACAATCCCTTCAATGAGCCCGCAGACCCTCCTCTGCTCAATCCTACAACCTCTGGAGCCTCTCCAACAGCCGTCCAGCAACCCAATTTCTCCCTGCAGCCATCAGAAACCCTCTAGCCAGCATGTAGACTATCCTTTGGTGACCTGACCGCCCCTTCCCGAGCAAGAAAAGTAACTAAAAGCTCCCTTTCTGGCTGGCCTTCCAAACACTTCTCCTTCTTGATCCTTCCCAGCCTTCCTGGCCGACCTTCCAAAGGATTTAAACAAGCAGAGCGACAACCAAGAATCATGCTACAAGGGTTTGTCAGGAAGCTACAACCAACCAGGTTTTCCCCTATCCATTCCTAAACGTGCATAGGGTTTATGACAATGTGCAAAATGAAGATGTTTAGTCTGTTTCAGAGGTTCTAAATTAGAGATTAGAAATTTAGTCCAAATAGCCTTTAAACTTTGTACTTTTATCGCAAAGTATAAACTCAAATGGTCATAACTTCCTTCAATACTCTCAATCTGTTTTTATGTACATTTTGTAAAAAAGTAAAACAAGAACATCTCAAGGGAGAAGACAATTCTTGAGCTCGTTGATCCTAATCATCACTCATAAAAGATTTAGGATCATACGGTTAAATCTTGGTTGATCGATGCTATGACTACAAAAGTTGAATATTTATTAATTTGCAGGACATCACAAGAGATTTAGGAAGTTGTGAGACGTCATTCTAATACTGAAAATATTGTAGAATTGTTTGAGATTAAGGAAAAATGCATGGAGCTCCAACAAGAAGAGTTGAGTGTTACTCAATATTTCAACACACTATCAAATAATTTGTTACAATTACATATGTATGATACATATGTGTGGAAGTGTCATCAAGATGTTATGTATATAAAACAATAGTGGAGAAGAAGAGGATGACAAAGTTCTTATTAGTTCTAAATAAGAACTTATATGTGGTCAGAGGAAGAAGCCTATCCCTTCCACTAGGGAAGCTTTTGTTGAATTTAGAAGAGAAGAAAGTGGGAAGAAGCTCATGATGTCAGGAAGTGGGTTTATCTAGCATAGGAAGCTCTGCTTTGCACGCGCAAAACTCCCATGATTCAAAGCCAAAGAAGAATCGTCCCTTGTAAGAACATTGCAAGAAACACGATCACACAAATGATAAATGTTGTAAACTACATGAAAAACCAGTAGATTGGAAATTTGGACAATGAGGAAGGATCAAAACAACAAAATTCATGCTCTTACCTTTTCTAAAGAGTTGTTCGACCCTAGTCCCTTCACCAAGGAACAACTGGAGGTGTTGAAGAAGCTTCCTATTAGCACGACTAAGCAGCCTTCCAGCTTGATGATACACCAAGGTATCATATCCTTCTCCTAATTTGCTAACAATGAAAGGTTTCGACCTTGGATAATAAATTCAGGTGTTTTTTATCACATGACTCGAGACATTTATGCTCTCATCAACTACGAAGAGACCATCACCTCCAAATTTGTTAGATTTGTCGATGGATCTCACTATAGGATTATTTTGAAAGGAAAAGCGAAAGTCTACCAAGAGATTCAACTTTATTTTGTATTTTATGTCCCCCAGCTAGATTACAACTTACTTTCAATTAGTAAGCATACTCTTGTTTGAACTGTGTTACTAAATTTCATTCTAACTCTTGTGAATTTCAGGTGGTGGATTTGCGGAAGGTGATTGGCAGTGCTGAATTTTATCATGGTCTATAACTGTTCAAGGAAAGTTATTCTCTTTACACACAAGTTTCTTCTCAACCATCATCTTCCTATGTTTTTTAGTCTATCGTGTTAAGTTTGTTGAAAGTCATGTTTTACTATGACATTATCATCTTGGTCATCCTAGTTTTCATTATATTGCAAAGTTGTATCCACATCTCTTGATTATAAAAAGTTAGTGTTTTATTAGTGTGAAGTCTGTCAATTGGCTAAACATATCAATCATGTATATCATCTATCTCAGTATAAACATTCACATTCTTTATCTATCACCCACAATGACATTTGGGGACCATCAAAATTTTAAACCATCAATGGAGCTAAATGGTTGTCTCCTCCATTAATGATCACACTAAAACCAATCAGATATTTTTCATGAAAGAGAAATTTGAAAGTACCCAAATCTTTAGTCATTTCATGACATGATACACTTAGTTCCAATGCAAAATTTAAATTCTTAAAACTGATAATGGAAAGGAATACTTTAACTCGATCCTTGAACCCTACCTTGCAAAGAATGGTATCATAAATGTGAGTTTTTGTGTTGAAATTTCATATAAAATTGGATAACTGAGAGGAAGAATAAACATCTTCTCAAGATATCTTGGTCTTTAATTCTTTCTCACAATATCTCAAAAGTTTTATGGGGAGATGCAGTGTTTACAAACACCTAACTCATTAATAGAATGCCAAGCAGGGTCCTTAGATTCAAAACCCCTCTCAATGTTTTGATGGAAACATACCCTCATGTTAGAGTCTTCTCATCCAATCTTCTTTTACAAATATTTGACTTTTTATTTTGATCACATTCATAAACCAAAACACACAAAACTTGAGGGTATTGTGAGAAAATCTATCAATGCAACTTTTTTGGTTATGCTTTTAACTAAAAGGGATAGAAGTGTTATTCTCACATTACAAAAAAATAGTAAAACTTAATGAATGATATTTAAAAAAAAACAATCATACTATTCCAAATCTAAAGCCCCCTATATCAGATTTGGGACATTACTCTGGATTCCCACACACTTATCTAGAGTTATCACAATCTATTCTATTTCCCTTTAACAATCATGTCTCCCAAGTTCCACCACTTGAGGATATTCAACCTAAGATTGACAAGAAGGATATGAACAAGGAACTTTAAGTGTACATTAGGAGAAAGAAATCCACTAATCAAGATAAAGATAATATAGAATCATAAGACTGTTTACAATCAAATATGAATTCACACATCTCTAAAGTTTCCAGGGATGTGGAATCTAGTGGAGAAGATAAGGGAAAGTTGCACAAATTATCCTATCCAGGAGTATGTGCCCTACGGGAAGTTATCTTTACGTTATAATTTTTTTTTTTTTGTATTTAATCTGGAGAGTGTGTAGTTACTCATGTCTATTCATGAAGCACTTTAAAGTCCAAAATGAGAAAAAGACAGTTGAAGAGGAGATCCAAGCACTTGATATGATTGATACATGGACCTTTACAAAGCTTTCTTCTGATAAAGACTCGTTGGGTGCAAATGGTTGTTCGATCTCAAGTACAAAGCATGGGAGCATTAGGAGGTTCAAGAACTGGTTGGTGGCCAAAGGTTTCTCTCAGACTTTTGAGATAGACTATCAAGAAACATTTGCAACATTGGCCAAGCTAAACACTGTAAGAGTTCTTTCAATTGGCAGTGAACAAATAGTGAAAACTTCATCAACTTGAGATCAAGAATACCTTTTTGAAAGGAGACCTTGAGGAAGAAGTGTATATGGAGATCCCATCAAGGTTGAAAATATCTCAAATCAATTGTAAAATAAGAAAGTCACTTTATAGCCTCCAACAATCTCCATGGGCTTGGTTTGACAAGTTTGTCAAGACTAAAATCTAATGGGTACATCCAATATTAAGTTGATCATATATTATACATAAAGCATACATGGGAAGATAAGAAAGCTATACTCATTGTTTATATAGATATGATTCTGACGGGTAATGATGAACAAGAGATTGGGAAGATTAAGGAGGTTCTTTTCACTGAATTTGAAAGCAAGGATATAGGAGTTGCGAGATACTTTCTAAGCATGGAAGTGGGCAGATCCAAGATGGGAATTGTGATTACATCTTTCACCTACTAAAAGAGACATGAATGCCGAGGTACAAACCTGAATGCCGAGGTGTAAACCTATTGACACTCGCATTGATTTCAACAAAAAATTACATTCAGGTGAGAAAAGAGACTAGTTTAAAAATGTATATACCAGAGATTGGTGGGAAAGCTTAGATTCATGTCACGCACTAGAATTAATATCACTTACTATATCAGTATTGTGAGTCAACATATGAATAGTTCAAATGAAAAATATTTCGAAATAGTTTACAGAATATAGAGATTTTTTAAGAAGTCCCTTAGCAGAGGGTTATTGTTTAAAATCAAGCTGAGTAGAAGTTCACATTGATGCTAGTTGTGTAGAATTCAGAGATAGAAGATCCGCATCTGAGTATTGTGCCTATGTATGAGGAAATCTTGTTACATGGAGGAGCAAGAAACAAATAGTAGTCTCTAGAAGTAGTGCATATATTGAGTATCGAGCACTTGTTTTTGGAATTTATGAAAGAATGTGGATATAAAGATTATTAAATGAGTTGAGATGCTCCAAGTCAATCCCATAAAGATTTTATGTAACAGTCAAGTTGCACTAATATTGTAAATAACGTTGTGCATCGTGACATGGCCAAACACATTGAGGTTGATAGACGTTTTATCTCTGAAAAGGTCACCGGCGGCATTATTCACTTAATCTACATTCGAACTCATCTTCAATTGACAGTTGTTTCCCTACCTCCAAGTAGCTTCAAGTATTTGAAAAGCAACTTGGTCTTTACAACATTAGTTTGTTGCAAAAACTATTTTTTACAATTTGATTCGTTAATGTGTAATAATTGTAAGAAATCCATCGGGCTACTTTTTTTAAAAAAAACCTATTTATAATACTAATAACAGCTTTTAAAAAGTCTGTTTTCTTCACAATAATTTTCAACCATCTTTTTATGAAGTTGGAACCATCTCAAACAGATTCTTAGTATATTGGGATGGGAAAAAAAAAAACTTGGCTTAAACTTGATTGTGGTGAGTTTTATAGTTATTATATATAATTAAAAATTATATTGTACTTGTTTCAAAATAAATTTGATCTCTGGAAAATTCATCTTTATCAAATTTGGATATGATTATCGTGGGACATTTTCTTATTCCAGCATGAGGTGAGGGTTTACAATTGGTTTTGACGAGTAACATCGGCTAAAAGAATTGTGATAACATGTAGTTGTGCCCGCATTGTTGGAGAATGCGTAGTCTTTACGGATTTGGAGCCAAAAATGAATCAATAGTCGTCTGTTTCTTCAAATAAAGAAGAGGTTAGTTTTGCAGTCTAGATTTTATCCTATAAAAATAATCTTAATCCCTTCTCCATGACTCTTAAATCATCATTATTATCATTACCTTCATTATCATTGTCATTATTATTATTATTTATATTATTATTATTATTATTATTATTAATGGCTTTATGTTTGAAATGTGATTCTGAAGATCAAAGAATCCTTTCGGATGCAACTCTTTCCTACTCTCATAATGTCCGTTAATTCTATACCTTAAACCATTTCTTATAAATTAAGATTTGATCCACCAAACTTCCACGTCTTCTCGGTCATTTCTCTATGATTTTCTATAATTGGTCGATATAAATTAAATTAGTTGAGGTTAGTGAATATTATTTTCTTGATTCTATGAGCAACTTTTATTTTACATAATTTTTTTTTGTTTAGGTACTCATAAAAAAAGCAAAAACATCGTACTTTTTGGCAGTTTTGCAGCGGCGCACCCGCTCATTTGTTTCGAACAGGCTGCGTGCCAGCCTCCGAATCAGAATAAGGAAAAATTTTTAGTACCAGACTGTGGCTAAGATTGACGAAGGAAAAAAAAAAATAAGTCCGTCCGCACGTAAAAGCTTCTCCCGAATCAGTTGGGTGTTAGATGATACCCCACTCGTTAGCCACTTTGCACCATGGCCCTTGGGCTCTTAACTTTATCATTATATATGCAAGAAATGATTGGGGTTAGGGCTGTCAAAAAAGCTCGTTGTTCGCGAACAGCTCGTGTTCGGCTCGTTAAGAAGCTCGTGTTCGGCTCGTTAAATTCGTTCGATAAGTTAACGAGCCGAACACGAACTAAGATGTGTTCGTTCGTGTTCGGCTCGTTTTGGCTCGAAATACGACTCATCAAGTTTATATATATATATTAAGTATTTTAAAAAAATCTAATTGACTACAATGCTACAAATATTTATAATCAATTAAAATATTAATTAAGAAAATAGAATAAAAATTATTAAATTAGATTTAAATAATGTTTTAATATAAATAATAATTTTTAAATCTTACTCAAACCCTTATTATCTTATGACTACATGATTAAGGTAGTTAAAAGAACTCTTTGTTCGTGAACAGCTCGTGTTCGGCTCGTTAAGCAAACAAGCCGAACACGAACACACTTTTTGAGCTCGAAATATAAACGAGCGTTTACACCCCTAATTGGGGTGATATCATCAAACATCAATTGTTATAATGCATTTTTTTTTTATCCAAAAGCAATGATTCACAAATTTCTTTTAAGAGGGTTGATCAGATTATAAAGTATGAGATTTATGATGTCATAAATAATTCTAATTTAATTTTCTCAAGAAAAATCTTATTTAATCATCGGGCAATGGATAATTCTAATTTAATTTTCTCAAGAAAAATCTTATCCACAAATGAGTGCTTTCACAAACTCCCAGCTATAATTTTTAATTAAAAATGATGATAATTCTTAATTTCTTCTGTGCTAAAAATTTTTGTTTATTTAAAATTTCTTGTAAATAGTATTTAAGCATCATTAATTGAATTTATTTTAGTATAATGAGAATGGTGATGGAGGTAAAATACGCTAAAAATGAAGCATAGGCAAACATTTTTCTTAATATTTATTATGAGGTTATTGATTTCTAGATTTTGTTTTTTATTATTATTATTTCTATATATGGTTATGATCGAATTGAGTCGAACCGAGCATGATGTGGATTGGACTTGGCTTGGTACGTTGTACATTTTTCGTGATCGAGTAGAGCTGGAGCAGAGCTTTCATCGATGTCATACTTAGCTTCTTTGAATGTTTTAATTTTATTTGGTTTGTATTTGACTTTTTTATTTTAATTGGATAAATATTTCAATGAGTTAAT